GTGAACGTGAGGAGAAGTGGAAGAAGGAAGCCCGAAAAGGTTGCCAGGAACTTTCCTGACGTAGATTGGCAAGGACAATGGGGGAAAACGACCAAGCAAAAGTGACGATAAGGGGGACGACAAAGATGGTGTGAACTTTCAGGATAGCAATAGGATGCAAGAGCAATAGATGATGTTTGTAATTCTATACCGCAACTAAATCAACCCAAAAACAATAATGATGGTATGGCACGTAAAGCTCTGCGTTTGAGCATGTTGGTTCGTACTATAAACATGTGGCAAAGTGTACAAAGAGGTGGAAAGATACGAGAAGCCGTTTGGGAGAGTATTCGCACTAGAAGTGTGTTCATAACCCATTCTTCCTGTCTGATTCGCTGGAAACACATTTCCTAGAAAGTACTCAAAATCAATCGTGGCTTACAAGGTAGTGAGGGATGTGAGCGTAGGGAGAAGTGGAAGAAGGAAGCCCGACAATGTTGCTAAGAACTTTCCTAATGTAGAATGGCAAGGAAAATGGGGGGAAATGAGCAAAAGTGACGATAAGGGACACGAGAAAGATGGTGAGAACTATCAGGATATGAATAGGATGCATGGGCAATAAATCCTGTTTGAAATTCTATAAAACAACTAAATCAGCCCAAAAGTATTGATTGTGGTATGGAAGGTAAAACTATGCGTGTGATTGTATTGGCTCGTACCAGAAACATGTGGCAACGTGTACGAAGAGGTGGAAAAGTACAAGAAAACGTCCGAGAGAATATGCGCAATGAAGTTTTGTTCATAACCCGTTCTTCCCTTCTGGTTCATCGGAAACACATTTTCTAGAAAATTCTCAAAATCAATCGTGGCTTACACGATAGTGAGTGATGTGAAGAGAAGTGGAAGAAGGAAGTTCGATAAGGCTGCTATGCACTTTCCTGATGTAGAGTGGCAAGGGTAATGGGGGTCAAGGACCAAGCAAAAAAAGACAAAAAAGGGAACGACAAAGATGGGGTGAGCTATTATGATAAGAATAGAATGCCTATAACACAACTAAATCTGCCCAAAAACATTGACGGTGGTATGGCAGGTGAAGCTTTGTATATGTGTGCGTGTGTGCATGTGTATGCGTGCGTGCGTGCATGCGTGTGAGCGCGCGCGTGCGCACGCCCGTTCGTGCGTGCGTGCGTGCTTATTTGTGTGTTGGCTCGTGGCAGTAAAACGTGATAAGGTGTATGAAGAGGTGGAAAGATACTGGAAAACGTAAAAGACTGAATACGAAATGAGATTGAGTTCATTTTCCACTCTTCTTTCCTTCTTTGTTGGAGACACAATTTCAAGAAAGCTTTCTTCATCTATCGCGTCTTACACAGTAGTGAGGGATGTGAGCGTGAATAGAAGGGGAAGAAGCGAGTCGGACAAGGTTGCTTGGAGCTTTCCTGATGTAGAATGGGGGAATGGGGCAAGGAGAATGGGGGAAGAGGAACAAGCGAAAGTGACCATAGAGGGAACGACAAGGGGGTGAACTATCAGGATAGGGTTAGAATGCATGGGCAATAGATCCTTTTTTGCATTCTTGGTAAGCGAAAGGACCTGCGTGTGTTTAAACATGATGAAGATACAAAGCATACACAAAAACGTCATTGGCACGTTAACCTGACTTTCAAGATTCGATCCCTCTACCTTTGAATTCATATATGAAACTCAACCCACTATGCTACCGACTGTTTCCAGGTCTGGAAAATTAAATTTGCGATACGGTGACGAAACACAGCAGCCACGAAAACGATGCTGTGGAGATTCGATCTCCTTACCTTTTGTATAACTCAGCCAACTGTGCTACATGAACTGATAAATATAAACACACAAAATTGATGAACGCGGTATCGGGTGTTCAAACAGCATGATGAAAACGCAACTGTAAAGTAGTGCTAGGAATCGATCTCCTCACCTTTGTGTTCACCAACGAAACTCAACCAACTGTGCCAAACGAGTTGTCGCATAACGAAAATTGATGTTATAAGTACGTTTGCAACTTCGGTGCATTTTTGTGCATTACGTATAAGCTGGTTTGCGTTTGGCGCCAGCGCAAAGGCGCCAGCGCCCAAAGGCGACCATGCACGGCGCCAGCGCCCACTGCGCCAGCGCCCAAACGCGCTCGCGCAAGGCGCCAGCGCCCAAAGGCACCCGCGCAAGGCGCCAGCGCCCACTGCGCCAGGCCCAAAGGCGCCAGCGCCCATAAGGCGCCAGTGCAAAACGCCAGCGCCCAACGCGCTATGGCGAAAATCCGGCAGCGCTTTGGCGCCAGCAACCAATGCACCAGCGCAGCCCAATGCACGAGCACCTAGGAAACATTGTGTTTCTTACCAAAATGATTGTCACTATAAGTTCTTTGAAGACTCTGAGTAGTGCTTGTGGTATTCGTCACTCAGTAGTTGGAAGAATCTGTCAAGAATGGCCAAGAATGTTTGAGAAAAGCTTCTCAAGAATTGCTCTATGCTAGTACTAGCTTGTGAGGAGATCAATCTGAGTAGTAGCTGCATAGCGATAGATGGGAGGGATGGATGAGGAGGATGGATTCGAAGGGGGAGGGGGCATTCGAAGAGAGGATGCGCTTCGGAGAATTTTTGTTCAAATTTGAGGTGGGTTCAAAGTTGATCTACGTGTCAAATTCGAAATCAAACTCGAGGGCAAAAGGTGGCAACTTTTAAATTTTGTTCCTTCTAAGAGGCTTGGGCAGGTTTGAGTAACTTTTGAGTTGTATTACCAAAATCAACTCTGCCACAATTTGGCTCACGTGAAATCCACGTCAAATTTACAGAAGTGACACAATTCTGCTTGTGGATGAATCATCTTTCAGACAACTCATCATTTCTAAGACAACTCATACAAAATGGAGAGACTCTAAATAGTGCATCTAAACAGTTTAGCTTAAGGTTGTTCCAACATGACCATATCAAAATCAAAATTGCTGAAAGATTGTATCTAATATAATAGATTGAAATCCAATATATAAATAGCAAATTAAAATTCAAAAGCATAATATACAACTTAACATAAAATTATAATTGTATTTCTCATATATCCAATGGAATTTGTAATATCCATTTTTAAATAAACATCATTAATCTCACACGCAAGCAACATCTACGGTATCTATTTTACCCTCCAAACAGGTGGCACATTAAATGCACGTTTAATCATTCACCCATTCCAAAGTAGCAATCACCTACATATGCATTTTTGATCATATTATACTTTTCTTATATCTATGATATATTAATATTTATAGATTGAAAATGTATACCTACGCAACCCATACGACGTTAAACGTCGAGTCTTGTTACAACCGAAATACACCAGTTCCGTTATACTCGCCAAAATCAAGAAAGTTGTAGATGGATATTTTTAGCTGTTTGTGACACATAGAAAACAATATACACAAACTCACTAGAAAACAATATTGATTAGTCAAACAAATATAGTTATATTCTCTAATATTTTCGAATTAACAACAATCAATGGTAAGAAAGATTTACCATGAGGAATAACAATTTAAAAAACTTAATAACAATCAATGTTAAGACAGATTTAAGACAGATTTAAAAGCATGTTATAAAGAGACATAGTTCATCGTTTTCTCTGTATCAAGCTAGCACGATAGTGGAAGTCCTACGCAACCCTTACGACGTTAACGTCGAATCTTGTTTACCGTTTGGGTTTGTGTGCCCTCAGCTGCATTCGTCACTCTTCCACGAAGGTAAATGGCGAGAGTCGTAGCAGCGGTTACTGTCGCAACTCGGCGACCAACGCCTTCTTCATGAAGATCTTCCACGCCCAGGCTCCCCCAATCAATCGTCTTGTCCCACAACCATATACAACCTGCAAGATTCCACCTGCAAGCTTTCTGTCACGCGGTCATGAGCGGCGAGCCGGTCACAGTCTTCGTCTCTGATGACCTGGCGCCAGCTGATGTCGAGCACTGGCTGTCGTTTGACGAAGCCGGTCTGCCTCATCCTCCACCTTCCACCGACGACCCTCACTTGCAGACTCAAGGTCTCCCGGAGTTGCCGTTTACTACCTTAGATTCGTCACTCGCTTTCCTGATACGCGACGATTTTCTTTTAGGTGATGCGTACACTGGAGACGCTAACACAGACTATCTTCCCATACGCGATGATCCCGATAACCAAGTCCAAGTTAGTCCGCAATTGCGACTAGATGATCTACTTGGAGAGCTGACGGAGAGGGGGACTCCACCTGATTCGGATGGCGTGAATTCCGTACGACGCGCAGACACACGCGAGGCTTGCACGGATGGATCCGGTGAAGCAGATGCGAATGTAAGAACTTTCGCGGATTTAATAGATGCATGGGACTCCAGCGCCGTGTGCCGTAGTCATGATACTGCCACTCGCCGAGCAGATAGGGTTGACTTCTTGCGCCCGGGGACGAGGCATGTCCCGGACGCAGGAAACGTTTTTGCAGCCAGCAGTTTAGGCACGTGCGTGCCAGAGCAGGCTGGGCCGTCCACGTGGCTTCCTGATACCCCTCAGAATCCAGAGGGGGGATCAGAACAAGGTTTGTCTGCCACGTCAGCATCCATTCTGAACGCATTGCAGCCTGACAATTCCGGTTCCCATGTGCTGACTTTCGAAGAAGCTTCGGAGAGGCTGTTCGCGGCGACAGCGCCAGCGACTAATCAGATCGCAAGGGGCCGCTGTGAGCAGGTGCAGCGTGAGCAAGCACAGAGGGCGCAGCTGCTGCCGCCAGGTCAGGAGGGACCGCAGCATCAACTGTCGACGCCGCAGCAGCAGTCGCAGCAGCAGTCACAACAGCAAGGGCAATATAACGGTCTAGGCCAGCAGCAGCAGCAGCAGCAGCAGCAGCAGCAGCAGGGAGCCCGTCAGCCGAGCATACCCGCCAGCACGCGTTCTCTCACCCCCAGCATCCATGCTCGTCCCTCTCCCTCCCCGTGCTCCTCTCACGCCCAACGCCCCTCACCCCCCCGCGGTGGTGACATGGGGGTGGGCGTTCTCAGAGGGCCTTCCGCCCATCCTCCCTCCGCTCCGCCCCCGTGCAAGCTGCCTCGGCGCCCCCCGGACCTCTCCTCCCGTCTCGCCGCCGTGCTGCAAAACATCAACCCGCCGCGCTCTGCGCCCTCCCCCTGGCCACCCTTCCCCCCCTCGACCAAGCCGGGCCTTTCTTCTCCTGCCACGCCCGCAGCTCCCGCTGCGCCTGCACCTCCCTCTGCCAGTGCGTGTACCGCGGCAGCTCGGTCGGTCGCCGTGCCGGGATTATCCGCAGCAGTAGCACCAGCGATTCCACCGGCACCACCTACAGCAACAGCAACAGCAACAGCAACAGCCGCAGTGGCAGCAGCAGCGATAGCGGTAGCAGTAGCTTCCGCAGTGTCTAGCATAGAGGCGCGTGAGAGCAGGCTCGTGGTTGGAGGCAGTCGGGGAGACGCGAGTGGTTTTATGGGCTCAACACTTGTCTCCTCTACTGTTCACACCAGCGACGCTGCTGTTTATGGATATGACCAGCGAGTGCAGTGGCCAGCATCCGTTCCGGACAACAATGCACTTGGCAGAAACCGCCTCAGTGCAGCGCACAGCAACCCACTGAGGAGTGCCCGGAACAGCGCATTGCAGAGCGCAGCAAGCAGGGCGTCTGTCACCGCCCCCCACGTTGTTGCCTTCGGCCCCGAGAGGCCCCTGCGAGTGGATGCGTCGGGCATGCTGCCGCTGCCTGCCTGCGGTGCGAGGGAGGGCATGCTGAAGCAGCAGCTCATGGCTCTGGCTGAAGCCATGGCTGTTGATGACTCGGTGCGTATGGCTTTTTGGGGATGAGGGAATGGGGAGATGGACGGATGGGGCCTTGGGGATGCCTGGCCAAGAGTGGGATGCTCGAAGTCTCCTGCTCATGCATGGTCGACCTAGAGTTGCAGTGCACTGTTTTGACTCCTGGTCTCCACCTCGTTTCTTCCTATCCCCCAGATTCCTCTCACTGGCCTTTTTATCCCCGACCTCTCACCTCCAAACGCCTCCTCCCACCAGGTGCGGTGGCGGCAGTGCATGCTGCACGTGCGCATTCGTGCAACCTCTCCAATGTGCATCTCTCCCTCCACCAGGTGCGGTGGCGGCAGGTCATGCGGCAGGTGCGGAGGGAGGCGGCAGCGGGGGGGGACACGCTGCAGCGCATCGCCTTCCATGCGCTGGAGGCGCTGCAGGCGCGCATGGATGGCACCGCGCTCACCCGCTGGTGCACCCCCTTGAAAATCACCCTTCAGGTACTTGCCTTCCCTCCGACCCACCTTTCCCGTTCCAAACCTTCCCCACTCCCCGTCTTTTCCCCTCGCCACGTTGGCCCCTCACCCTCTTCCGCTCCGCACCTTACCCGCTTCCCAACCCCCCTTGTCCTCCTTTCCCCTTTTTTTCTGGTCCCCGCTTTCCACCCCGGCCAACGTTGTTAGACATCTGTATGCGTGTATATATGGATGTGGGTTTATATGCACACGCACACGCGCGCGCGCGCGCAAACACACACACACAGAGGCGCGCGCGCGCACGCACGCACGCACGCACGCACACATTGACACACAACACGTGCACTCGGTGTATTTTTTCTTTGGGCACGATCCCTTTCCTGTCAGGCACTGCATGTGCTAATCTTACAGTTTTTCGTGCTCGCCACGTGTCCATTGCATACCATTTATCCTGTGCATCCCATGCACCCCATTTATGCCATGCACCCCATGCATGCCACGTGTCCGTGTGAGCAGGATTCAATGGCAGTGTTGGGCCACGGCGGGGAGCATGGAGTGCCGGCATTCATGCACCTGGCCAACATTGCAGAGATGCACGAAATCATTCGTGCATTCACCCACCAACCGCATGCACACCAACACCAGCATGCACACGCACACGCACAGAATCGCCCCACCCACACCTCCACCTTCCACAGACAGGTTCCCCATTCCCCGGCCAGCCACCCACACACTCCGCACGCTCCAGCTCCTCCCTCACAGCCGGCCTCTTTCCCTGCCTCTGGCTCTGCATGGCAGTCGGTGCGGCGGCGGCGGATGCACATCATAGCGATAGGACTGTACTGCGGGCCGCACTGGATCCACATCTTCATGCGCCTCGCTGCCCACTTCTCCTCCCCACCTCTTCTCCCCACAACCACCGCCACAGCCAATGGGCATCCACCAAGTGGCGCCCCATCTGGGGGAGCAGGGACAGTACCGAATGCAGCAAGTGGGGGCGTGAGTGGTGTTCAGGGCAGAGCAGGGGCGTTCGGTGCAGGTATACCTGGGGGAGGTGCAGCAGCAGATGCACCTGCGACAGGCAGCAGTAATAGCTTCACCCGCAGCAGCAGCACAAGCGGCAGCGGTGAGCGCACGCACCCTACAACACCGCCTACACATCGTTCACACGCGACACACAGTTCATCCCCTACCGTTGTTGCTCCCCTGCCCCGCCCCACGGCTCATGTGAAAGTCACAGCCGTTGATTTCGGGATCATCAAAGTGGAGGAGTATCCAACGGGCATGGTGCATCTGGGAGGGCAGTACCTGGAGCAGGTGGCATCTATGCTGGGCCTCTCCCTGTCGTTCCATGGCATAGAAACCACCCCACTGGACTTCCACCCGTCGCAAGTGGAGGTGGATGAAGGCGAGGAGGTGGTGGTGCTGGCCAATTGGGGCCTCTTGGTCTTCCCAGACGATACCGTTCTGCGCTCCAACCCCCGCAATGCCATTCTCAAGTGGATTCGCGACCTGCGCCCGCTGCTCCTCCTGCAGGTCGACATAGATCTCGATGCCAACGGGCCCTTCTTCCTCTCGCGCTTCCACGCTGCCTTCGCCAACTTTGCGGCGTTCATCGAGTCGTTTGATGCGTCCATGCCGCACGCCGCCACGTCACGGTTTGCAGCAGAAACCATTCTTGCGCGGGATTTGATGAACGGGGTGGCGTGCGAGGGCATGAACAGGTGGCTGCGCTCGGAGCGGCTGGAGAAATGGGCGCATCGCATGAAAGCCGTGGGGCTGGAACCCGTACCTTTAGGGCCGGACACGGTGGCGGCTGGGAAGCAGATCACAGAGGGGAAGGATAGTCGGTTCAGGCTGGACGTGCATGCTGAGACGGGTGCCCTGCAACTCAGCTGGCGCGGCGTGCCGATGATCTTTGTGGCTGCTTGGAGATGAGCCTTGACACGGCCTCAACAGCTGTGGCGTCCCCACCATCTTTCTGCCCGTTTGGGAGGTATGTCCGGGATCGATTCTAAGGTTGCTCTAAGGAGCTTTGTGGCGGGGCAACGGCAAGGGCAGCATGGACAGGAGGGCTGGTCTATTATAGCCAGGATAGATTTCAGCCGTGTAATGTGCCCGTTGAAGCCCCGCGCCCCTGCATGTCACCCTTCCTGCCCTGTGTTGCATACGGTATGTTTCTTGTGTTTGATGTGTTGCATTTGCATGTGCATATCCATCGTTCCTCCTTTCTAGCCTTTTTTTTTTCTAAGAACTCCTACCACTTGCTTACACTGTCCTTGTTGGTGCAGATTCCCACTATCATTGATCCCACAACGGAGTTGTATGATAAGCAAGCCATTAGCCATCCTGCCAGTAATTCCTGATTCGGGTTGACCAAACACATGATGAGCTCCCTTCCAGCAATCTCACATGCTAGACAAGCATTTTTCCCAGCTGTAAAATCCTTTCGAGGTCTAAATGACAAAAAAAAAAAAGCCTGGGCCTGGAATTCCCTACTGTAATCGCCGTAATGGTGGAAGGGGAGGGGGGAGGGGGAGGGGGGGAAGGGGGGCAAAAGTGCTAATTTATCTTAGGATGCATCCCTCCTTCGAACTTGCGATCGATTGCGGAAAATCGATCCTAAACCGCACTCAAATCCTGCTTGCCACATTCAAAACTCCCGGAACCTTTTCAAAAGCTGAAATTTTTTTAGCCAGCGCAGGAACGATTGCCCGTAACGATGTGTCCAGATAGTTATAACGTTTATATTGTGTAGGCTGTAGTGGGGTAGCCCATAAGGGGTACAACCCAACTAGGGTTAGTACGTGTACCAACTTTTTCTTCAATGCAATCATTCTCACTTAGTCTTCTGACATGGTTTCAGAGCAGGTCCTGTTCCAGGACCGTTTTTTTTTAGGGCCCACCGTACATTCACTGCCCGTAGCGCGTTACCGCCCTACCCTGTCCGTGGCGCTGCCCCACCAGTCGCGCTCCCCTGCCCGCGCGCTGCCTTGCTGGCTGCCGCGCTGCCTTGCCCTGCCCTGCGTCGCGCCTCCCACGCACGCCCTGCCCTGCACCGCGTCACGCTGCCCGCACACGCCCTGCCCTGCGTCACGCCGCCCGCACGCCTGGCCCTGCCTGCGTCGCGCCGCCCCGCGCACGCCCTGCCCTGCGTCGCGCTGCCCGCACATTGCCCTGCCCTGCCTTGCGATGCGCTGCCCTGCGCACGCCCTGCTCCGCATCACGCCGCCCGCGCGCGCCTGGCCCTGCCCTGCGTCGCGCTGCCCGCGCACGCCCTGCCCTGCCCTGCGGTGCGCTGCCTCGGTACGCCGCGCATCAGCTCAACCTTTGGCCCCGTGTCTCCTTGACGGAGACCTCGCCTACACCGCGTTGGATGGGGGAGGGTCTGGAGCTCTGGCGATGCGTCGTTGTTTCAGGTCTGGGCGCTCGTGCCTTTGTCCGCGATACCTCCGCGGACAAGCTCTCCTCCCGCGCCATTCCCTGTGTCTTCCCTGTTTTCCCCCTTGACGCGCCTGGCTGGCAGTTTTACCACCCCACCTCGCGCCGTGTTCTGTCCTCTCAGGACGTCACGTTTGACGAGTCGGTTCCCTTTTACCATCTCTTCCCCTACCGCACTGCCCCTCTCCCCCCCCCCCCCGCCGCTCTTCCTCGCTCCAGGTCCCCCTCCGGTAGACCCCCTCCCCCCTCAAGGTCCTGCTCCTTCAGGTGTCTCTCAGGTAGACCCACTTCCCTTAGCTGAGCCTGTCGAGGTCAGACTCAGCACCCCCAGACTCATCACCCTAAACCCTAAACCCTAAGACGGTCGAGGCGGGAAACCTAGAGGGGTCACCAAGCGAGGTGAACGGTGAGTGGTCGCTGTGACGTCAGCAGCAACGTCGCCCCCCTCAGCTGGGCAAGAGGTGTTAGAGGTAACCTCCAAAGGTCCACCTGAGAGGGGTGGGTCTACCTGAGAGACACCTGAAGGAGCAGGACCTTGAGGGGGGAGGACCTGGAGCGAGGAAGAGTGGTGGGGGGGGGGAGCGGGGAAGTGCGGTAAGGAAAGAGATGGTAGAAGGATACCGACTCGTCAAAGGTGACGTCTTGCGAGGACAGGACGCGGCACGAGACTGGGTGGTAAGACTGCCAGCCAGGCGCGTCTGTGGGAAAGCCAAGAAAGACGCAGGGAATGGCGCTTCAAGCGAGCTTGTCCCCGGAGGTATCGCGAATAAGGGCATGCGAACCCCAGACCCAAAACGTTGACGCATCACCAACCTCCTCTATCCAACGTAGTGTAGGTGAGGTCTCCGGCACGGAGACACGGGGCCAGAGGTTGAGCTGATGTGCAGTGTATCGGACTGTAAATGGATATTAAAAAATGGGGAGCAGCCGCATGGATCATGGAGGTGCGAGCAACCTCCATGACTAAGCCAATGCAGCGCTCAGCAATCCGATTCTGTTGCGGAGAGGCCTGAAGCGTCAACGACTGGACGATGCCCTCCTCATGACAAAAAGCCCTCAGAAGGTGGGAGGAGAACCCACCGCCTCTGTCAGAATGCAAACGCAGGGCCGGAAGGTCCTGCCAGAACCGCTCACGGAGCTGGTGACGGACAGCGCGGATCCAGGGGATCAAGACACTAGAACATCCACCTTGCTCTGCAAGGGGAAGAGTGTAGCGCGTGTAGTCGTCAACAACCAGCAGAAAGTAGCACTCGCGGTCCGGTCCACTGACGCGGGATGGACCCCACACGTCCATGGAGAAAATGCATAGGAGCCTCTGTCGGAGGAAACGAGGAGGAGTGAGGAGCGGCGCGCTGCCGCCCCTCGACACAGGGAAGGCACGGTGGTGCAGGAGAGCGCGGAATTGGGGGCAGGGACCTGGGGAGGCCAGAGACAAGGAGACGTAAGTGCATGCTACGCAGACGTGGCAGGGAGGGGTGACCAAGACGGTGGTTCCAGAGAAGAGTCTAGTGCGTGAGAAGTCGACAAGAGCAAGACGCAGCTACTTGACCGGACGCAGACACCTGACCAAACGCAGCGACCTGCGCAGGTGCAGTAGTCAGTGTGACAGGCCAGACCCAGGCCTCTGTGTGAACTTGGCAAGGTGGTGGCCCGTCCGAGAACACGTACAGATCACCAAACACTCACCGCCAAGAGGGCCAAGGCGAGAGGCGGGGCCCCAGACGTCCAAGTGGAGCGTCTCAAAAGGCTCGGTGGCCGGACGAAGGGAGGAGGAGTGAGGGGTGGCGCGCAGCCGACCCTCGACGCAGGGACCGCACGGTGGTGCAAGCGAAGGCGGCAGCGACGGTAAGACACGTGGGAGGCCTAAGACAAGACGCTGACGAGACATAGCGCGCAGACGAGGAAGGGACGGGTGCCCCATCTGGTGGTGCCACAGAACGGTGGGGTGGGCAAGCGACCGGCAGGAGCACGACGCAGCAACTGGACCCGACGCGGGACCCTGACCAGACACAGCTACCTGGGGGGACGCAGCAACCTGGTGAGACGCAGGGACTAGACTGGGGGAAGGAACAGGGGCTGGGGGCAGTAGGCGCCGCTGCTACTGCTGCTGCTGCTGCTGCTGGTGCTGCTGCTGCCCATCAAGGCCAGTGTGAAGTGTGTAGAGACCAGAGCCCGGCTCAGCTGTAAAGGTGGCAAGAGGCGCGTAAGTGTCTCCGTCAACACAAACCGCCGTCTCACCAGAGGGCTCAATCCACACACCCACGTGCTGACTCACAAGAGGCCTCACGCCCACCAAGTTCCTCGAGAACGAGGGGACGTGGAAGCCAGTCAACGAACCAGAGGGAACAGCAGGGCACGGAAGAGTAGTAGTGTAGCGAGAAGTGCGAGGGGAGGGGCTGCTGCTGCTGCAGCAGGGGCTACTGCGAGGGGAGGGGCTGCTGCTGCTGCAGCTGCTGCTGCCGCTAGGCCAGGTAGCACGCCGCTGCTCCACCCAACGCGGCCGGCAGACCAGGAGGAGGCTGACGAGTCCGGGTGTCGCCTCCACCAGCTGCAACAGGGGAGTCACTGGCCGCTTCACGAGACGCCTCTCCAGGTCCTGCGCTCCCGCCGCCACCGGTCGGCACGCCACCCCCACCACCTCCGCCGCTAACGCCGCCACCACCGCCACTGCCTGTACCCTGACCGCCCCTCCTGCCACCCCTAGACCGCGAAGAAGTCGTAACAGCAGCTGCGGTCACGTCAGTAGTGGCAGTGGCGAGAGAGGCAGTAAAGGTGGGCAGCTGAGGGACAGTGCACCCGTGAAACAGTGGAGGGGGCACAGCACCAGAGGCGGAGGCTACGGAGCGGAGGTTGCTCTCGACGTCCTTGAGCGCAGACTCAAGGACCTCGATAGTGAGCTCACTAGGGTGCTTCAGAAGAAGCGTGTCACGAACCGAGGCAAGGCGGTCAGGGAGGCTAGTGGCGATGAAATAGATAGTAATCGCCATGGGAGGAGGAAGCAGTGCAAGCTGTGCCTCAGTGCAAGTAGTGCGGTAGCTGGAAACGAGCGAGCAGAGGTGTGCAATCAAGTCAGCAGAGCGCTCAAACGAGGCGAGGTCAGGGAACAAGAACGGTAGGAAGAGTCGGCCAAGAGAGACAGTGGTGGGAGTAGCGTAGCGGGCCTTAATCGCAGTCAGGAACTCACTAGCAGTGCGAACCTGAGTGAAGTGGGCCTCCTCAGACTCAGGGAGGAGGCTGCTAAGAGCGATGCAGGCCGCAGCGTCACGTGACTTCCATGCCATCAGGTCAGCACGCTCGCGGGTAAAGCGGTCTCTAGCTGCGTCGTCAGGGGCGGGGCCTAAAGGCGTAGGGTCGCCGGGCGCTGGAAGGTCACCAGTTGCGTGCGCCTAGAGGGACTCGCCTGCCTGTACCTGACTCTATAAAAGGCGACGCGTGCGTAGGAGCCAGACCGAAAACTCGAGCGGTCGACGTCAGCGTCAAAGCGAAGAACCCGAGGGGTCACCATAGTGGAAGCAGTAGCGACAAGGGGCAGGCGCAGTAGAGCGCAGGGAGGGCTCGCCGCGAGCCTAACGAGCAGGCGCGGCAGTGAGCGGAACGGGCAGGCGCGGCGGCGTACTGGGAGGGCCCGCAAGAGGCCTAACGAGCAGGCGCGGCGACGGGCAAAACGAGCAGACGCGGCGGCTGAAAGAGAGGGCTCGCGGCGGGCCTAACAAGCGGGCACGGCGGCGAGCGACACGGTTGGGCGCGGCGGCCAGCGCGACACGCAAGCGCGCGGGCAGAAAGGGAGACGCGGGCGCAGTGGGCGAGCGGGCGAAGGGACGCGCGGGCTGGCGGGTAGGAAAGCTGCGACGCGACGGGCGGGAGGATAGGGCAGCCGCGAGGCGACGGGCAGCGGGGGGACGGCGTGACGCGACGGGCAGCGGGGGGACGGCGCGACGCGACGGGCAGCGGGGGGACGGCGCGACGCGACGGGCAGCGGGGGACGATGTGACTCGACAGGCAGCGAGGGGAGGGGCGACGCGACGGACAGCGAGGGACGATGCGACTCGACAGGCAGAGGGGGAAGGGGCACGACGCGACGGGCAGGGAGGGAGAGCGCGACTGTGACGGGCAGGGAGGGAGAGCGCTACGTGACGGGACAACCGCGAGGAGAAGGCGCCACGCTACACGGTAAGCGAGTTAGCTGAGCGGGCACTAACGAACGAGTGTGACAGGGTCGGGCGGAACGAACGTGGACGGGAGGAGCGGGATCCCACAGGATCCTAACCTAGGTGATACCATGTCAAGAATGAAAGTGTTGCATTGACAATGTTGGTTGGGGTACATAAACCTAACCCTACGAGTTGTACCCCCTATGACACGCATCACTAAGACTACGACATTTGAGAGTTAGCGCTGTCTTTTTATTGAAGGGTTATGTCCCTGGGTTTCTAAGTTGCTTTTCCGCATCTTCAAAGTCTGCACGTGGCGAATGTGAATTCCCTCGCGGGCTCAAGTTCGGGTTCACTTTCAAAATCCTAAAACTCAAGTCGAGCCGTTGCGATCTTCGAATGGTTCGACGAAATTGCAAATGCTACGACACTCGTTGAACGACCAAACCAGGCCCCATGCCTCTCGCTTTCGTTTTCCGAACGAACCTCCAGGAAGAACCAGGCAAAGCTGCCTAGGCTGAACTGAAACCCTAGGCTGTCACCTACCTCCATCTGCACTAGCCACGTTCTAAGCACTTTCCCCGGTACCTCCGAAGGTTCCTGAATCTCCTGACCACACTGGGCGGCTCCGTAAGCGCGCGCTTCGGCCGCAGCCCTCATACTTTCGTCCTGATAATTTTGAGCCATTTAGGAAGGTGCGCTGTGGTTTGTCACGCGAAGTTCCAGGTCGTTTGGGCTCGTTGTCGTGCATCGCAATGTTGCTCAGCACACGGAGCTTATAACGAGTATTTTGATGTGTCAGGCGGTCACTTCTGACTGCCATGTCACGCGTCGTCGTTTTGCTTGCGACGAAGCCTGCATCTGAAGTATCGTAACGCAGAATCGCAACCTTCGCAAAAGCTTCCGTAGTAACATGGCTCTGGCTCATTCGCCCTTCCCCTTCCCGTTTTCCCCGTTACAGCATGACTCGCTCGCTTCTCTTACAGCGCCTACAGACGCTCACCAATCAACAAACTCCCAGCCAGCCGCCCAGCAGGCCGCCTGACCTGCCGGCGGAAGCCGCGCAGAGGGCGGAGGCTGCTCGCGCAGGCGCCGACGCGACAGCAGCAGCGCAACGAAGGGGCGCAGCCGCATCAGGGAGGGTTTCTGGGGAAGCGTCGGGTCAAGGGGAAGGGCGAGCGGAGGAGCAGCGCGGTGGCGTGCGGTTGGAGTCGGTTCTGGCCGCCAATCCCCTTGTCGCCCTGCCTGCCGTCCCCCCTTACGCCTTCCGCTCGCCCTCCCTCCACTCTTCGCCCCTTGGCTTCCCCACTCCCCCCCTGCACACAAGCACTTACGAGCCTGCTGCGCCGGGCAATGGGTCCACAGGCAGAGGCAATACCATGCTCGCAGGCACAGGCACGGGCACGGACACAGGCTCGGGAACAGGCACGGACACAGGCACGGGAACAGGCACGGCCACAGGCACGGGAACAGGCACGGCCACAGGCACGGGAACAGGCACGGCCACAGGCACGGGAACAGGCACGGCCACATGCACGGGAACAGGCACGGCCACATGCACGGGAACAGGCACGGGAACAGGCATGGGCACAGGAACAGGCACAGGCACGGGAGCTGGCACAGGCACGCGCACAGGCAGGGATTTGCGTGAGCGGTGGGAGCAGGCATTGCAGATCGGCAAGGGGCGGGCGATTTGGGACGACGAGCAGACAATAGCCCTGCTGGGGATCTTGCGGGATGTGCTGCGCGCTGAGGGCTCCCCCCTCCCGGGCAGGATCGACTGGGGGGCGGTGCACCGCGAGTGGTTGCGGCGGGGGTTACCGCGGTATTCGGGGGAGCAGCTGCGAATGCGGTGCAAAGTGGTGCGGGGGTGGGTGAAGGACATACAGGCCCTCCAAGCGATGCTGCCGCCGGAAGTCGCCTGGGACCCCACCACTCATTGCTTTAGCCCCGACCCCAAGGTGAGAGTCCTCACGTGAGAGAGGGCGAGGTGTGATCTGCTTGTGAATGACTTCAAGATGGGTCTACCACCGTCCTCAGCCTCCTCTCCCTCCTCTCCCTCCTCTCCCTCCTCTGCCTCCTTTCCCTCCTCTCCCTCCTCTCCCTCCTCTCCCTCCTCTCCCTCCTCTCCCTCCTCTCCCTCCTCTCCCTCCTCTCCCTCCTCTCCCTCCTCTCCCTCCTCTCCCTCCTCTCCCTCCTCTCCCTCCTCTCCCTCCTCTCCCAGCTCTCCCTCGTTTGCCTCTCCCTCTTCTCTCCCTTCCCTCCCTTTTTCCTACCTTCCTTACCCCTTCGCCTGCTCCCTCACCACCCCCCGCTGCAGCTGGGAATCATTCCGCGGCTGAAGCAGCGTGGGCAGTGGAAGCAGTACAGGCGGTGGTGCAAGCACACGGCGCCCTGGCTGCCCCTCGCTCTGCTCAACGCCCACACTTGCCCTGCTGCGGCCCCACTGTGGCACGAGGAGGAGGATTGGGAGGAGGACGACGAGGAGGAGGAGGACGAGGAGGGGGAGGAGGATTGGGAAGAGGGGGAGGGAGGGGAGGAGGTTGGGGAAGAGGAGGATGAAGTGGTGGAAGTGGAGGATGGGGGGGAGGGGAATGGACAGGCGGAGGAGGTGGAGGTTGAGGAGGTGGGGGGAAGAGGGCGAAAGGGATGGGGCGATGGAGGGCGACTGCGGCAAGTGGCAGGGAGGTATAGGCATGAATCCGGAAGGAATGTGCGGAGGAGGAGAGACAGAGGAGGGGTGGAGGAACGGGGGGGTTGTGGAGAGCGGTGGAGGGGTGGTGGAGAATGGGATGGTGATGAGTGGTGGGGGATGAGGAGGGGGGATGCGGGGCGACAGGCAGGACAGGGAGGGGGTGTGAGGAGCAGAGGGGAAAGAGAGGGTGCAGAAGCGAGAAGGGTTGAAATTGGCAGAGCCAGGAATGCCAGGGTTGGGGTTGGCAGTGGTGGGGCAGGTCAGGAGAATGACGGATTAGGCTGTACAGTTGACGCACCGCGGGCCAATGGCGTTCCCCGTGGCCGCAATGTAACATTTGCTGACAGTGCTGGTGCTGACGTGGCTCGTGCTGATGGGACTGGTGGCGCAAGCGCGGATGAGAGGGACGAGTACCCTGCGAGGCTGGCAGCGCGGATCGCTGGCATGGTGGCGAGCAGGAGGGAGCAAGGCGGCACTGAGGGGGGAGGGGGCGGGGATGGAAGAGGAGGAAACGCGAATGCATGGCGCGGGGTTGGAGCTCCTGAGGGACAGAATAGGGGGGAGGAGAGGCAGGGAGGGGGGCGGGAGGAGGAGGGGAGAGCGGGGAGGGGCGTGAAGCGGTCGAGACCGGTGTGGGTGCAGGTGAGGGAGAGGAAGCGGCAGCGGCGGGTGATGGAGAGTGTGGCGCGTGCCCTGATTGTGTTCAGGGGCAAGGCGAGGAAGGGGCAGGAGCACGTGTACCGAGGTGTGTGGTGTGATGGGATGGGATGGGATGGGGTGGGGTGGGGCGGGGTGTGATAGGGTGGGGTGGGATGTGATGTGATGTGATGTGATGTGATGTGATGTGATGTGATGTGATGTGATGTGATGTGATGTGATGTGATGTGATGTGATGTGATGTGATGTGATGTGACATGTGCACAGTGATATGAGAAGGCACAGCCTTAGTGTGCCCGCAGGCATGAATGTTTCGAGGATGTCTGCTAATAGTATTACTTAAAAAAAAAAATTCCTAGTTATAATCACCCTCTTCCTACTGCCTTGAGAACCACCCCCTTTTCCCTCTCGTTCACCAGACGCGGTGGGGGACAGTGTGGTGAAGGCGGTGCAGGACACCCTTCTGACTCACTGTTCTCACCACACGCCCTCTCCCCAACCCCCCCCACCCCACCCCTTCAGTCGCGGTGGCGGGGAGTGCATTCAAGGCGGTGCAGGACCTGCAGGCGCTCCTTACACCCCTCTCCCCCTTCCCTTTCCTCTCTTCCCCCCCCCCACCAGACGCGGTAGCGGACAGTGTGGTGAGGGCGGTGCAGGCAGTGCAGGCGCTGCCCTCCCTGACGGACGTGCAGCGCGTGGCGGCCATCGACGCCTTCCTGCAGCGCCCCCTCGACGCCCCCGCCTTCCACGCCATGAGCCCCGCCCTGCAGACGCTCTTTGCTCTGCGCGCCCACGCCCAGGCTGTTGATCAACAGCTGGCAGGGATTCAAGCTGCTGCTGCTGCTGCTGCTGCTGCTGGGGGGGGAGATGCGGCGGTCACAGACCAGCTCCTTGCGCCTCTGCAGGGCGGGGCTGGGGTGGGGCTGCAGGGCGTGGCTGGGGGTATTGGAGTGGCGGGTGGGGGAGTGGCGAGCGGAGCGGGAATGGGGGGGTTGGGTGGGGTGGGGGGTGTGGCGGGGATGGGAATAGGAGGAGTGGGATTTGGGGGGAACGGGGTGGGGGGGATGGCAACAACGGGTGTGGGAGCAGCAGGGATGGGAACAGCAGGGATGGGAACAGCAGGGATGGGAACAGCAGGGATGGGAACAGCAGGGGTGGGAGTGAGAAGCATGTGGATGGCTGAAACTCGTAGAGGGGGAATGGGATCGGGGATACCGCGGATGGGGGAAACAGGGTTCGGTTGGAGGGGTTTGGGAACGGTAGGACAAACGGAAGCAGAGATGGAAGGAGGTGGCAGTGTGGGTGTGGGAATGGCAGCAGCAGCAGTTGCGGCGGCCTCAGCAGGAGGAGCGAGGGGTGTACAGGGTGTGGGCGGGGGAGGAGGAAGAGGACGGGGGGTGGGAGGAGGCGGAGGGGTAGGAGGGGCAGAGGGGGTAGGAGAAGCAGCTGGGACAGCAGGAGCAGGTGGGGCAGCAGGAGCAGGTGGGGCAGCAGGAGCAGGTGGGGCAGCAGGAGCAGGTGGGGCAGCAGGAGCAGGTGGGGCAGCAGGAGCAGGTGGGGCAGCAGGAGCAGGTGGGGCAGCAGGAGCAGGTGGGGCAGCAGGAGCAGGTGGGGCAGCAGGAGCAGGTGGGGCAGCAGGAGCAGGTGGGGCAGCAGGAGCAGGTGGGGCAGCAGGAGCAGGTGGGGCAGCAGGAGCAGGTGGGGCATCAGGAGCAGGTGGGGCAGCAGGAGCAGGTGGGGCAGCAGGAGCAGGTGGGTTGGGCCCCCCAGGTGGGATGGGCGGCACACAAGGGGCAGGCAGCACAGCAGGGCTGCAGCTGCTGGCACATCGCGTACAGGAGTTTCTGCGACAGAACCTGGGAGCAGTCAACGCCAGTCAAGGGGCAGTCAATGCTGGTCAAGGGGGGGTGGGTGGCACTCCAGCGGGGGTCAACGGGGTTCAGTGCGAGTGCCCTGAGTGTGTGGCTGCTAGAACGCGTCAAGGCACAGTCAATGCAAGTCAACAGATGGCCAGCACGGGTCAACAGGCAGTCAATGCTAGTCAAGGGGGGCTGGCTGGCACTTCAGTGATGGTCAATGAGCATCAATGCGAGTGCCCTGAGTGTGTGGCTGCTAAATTGGCGGCCATTATTCGGCAAAGGGCTGTCAATGGGAGTCAACCAGTGGTCAACGCGGGTCAAACAGCTGTCAACGCGAGTCAACCAGTGGTCAATGCGGATCCGACGAGGAGAGTGGTTGCGAATCAGACGGAGACAGCTATCGACCAATTAGGGTTTGGTGCAGGTCATGTGGGGACGGCTGTTGTGCTACAGACAAGAAATGCTGGTCAAGCACCAGTCAACGCTGGTCAAGCATCAGTCAACGCTGGTCAAGAAACAAGAATCGCTGGTCAAGGAGCAGTCAATGCAGGTCAAGGAGCGGTCAATGGAGGTCAAGGTGGGGGGTTGAGTAGTGAGGAAGAGTTGCTTTCAGGTGAGAATTTGAGTGCTGGATGGTCTACGAGTGAGGGCGAGGAGTTGAGTGAGGGGGAGGAGTTGAGTGAGGAGGAGTTGAGTGAGGAGTTAAGTGAGGGAAGGGGAATCGTGTGTGTGAGGGACAATGGAGCTATTGCGTATGAAGCAGGGGCACTTGAGAATGAGGGATTGTGGCACGTCTGAGGGGGAAGAGTGTGTGACGGGGGGAGGGGACATGGATGGGGGATAAGGGGACATGCCTTTGAGTGGAGGAGACTCTAATGGAAAGGAAGGAGAGACGATGGGAGAAGGGTACGCAAGGAGACAAGGAAGTAGAAACTGAAGGATGCAAGTGGTTGCACAGACAAGCTGGGAAGGTCAGCCATAAGTTTATGAACGTGCTGCACACACACTAAAGGGGGAGAGATACTGGTGACGTAATTTGTGAATTTTTGTCAATGATGGGCAACCTGCATGTCCCCCAATCAGTTGCACATGGACAAGTGTTTCTACGTTGGCACTACTTTGTTGTTTATATATTGTTGTCATTAAATAAATAAACAAATATAACCTAACAACCATCAACCACAAGAAAATTACAAAATGCCTACCGCATTGGCCCTGAATCTGAACTGCGTCCCCAATTACCGTAAAACCGTTCATGCAGCTGTGCAACTACCAACGCTATCGTACGCCGCTAGTCTTGTTGTTGAGTCTGAGTCTGGTTGTCCTCCGTCCGTCGGGAGTGAGTGTGCTCTTGGCACGGACGTCGTTGAGGACAGGCAGGAGGACTTTGAGTGTCTTGCAGCTGCTGTACCTCATCTCGTGGCCATTTGCACCTGAGGGAGACCCGGATGCACTAGACATCCCGACCCCGCGCTCTTACGCAGAGGCGATTTCGGGTCCCTACTCCTCTAAGTGGCAGACAGCCATGGACGCAGAGATGGCATCCTAGAAGTCCACAGGCACTTACGTCGACGCAGTTCCCCCTCCTGGAGCGAACATAGTCGATGGCATGTGGATTTTCAGGGTGAAGCGGCCGCCGGGTTCTCCGTCTGACTTCAAGGCTCGTTACGAGGCTTCAGTCAGCAACAGGGAGTTGACTTCTTCCATTCCTTTTCCCATATCCCGAAGATGACCACTCTTCGGGTGCTGTTGCACGTTGCCGCTCAGCGTGACTACGAGCTTCACTCTTTTGACTTCAGCACAGCTTTCTTACAGGGCAGCTTGCACGAGGAGATCTGGCTGCGCCGCCCACCTGGCTTCACTGGGTCGTTTCCTGCAGGTACCCAGTAAAGCCTCTGGCGGCCAGTCTACGGTCTTTGCCAGGCGCTTCGTGAGTGGCACGACACACTGAGGATGACACTTGCAGCTCTTAGGTTTTCTCCTTCGACTGCTGTGTCAGAGGTCCACTGGTGATCCCCGATTGATCCTAGGGAAGGGTTACAGGCACGTTGGCCTGGGGGGTTATGGGCGCACTCACCCGCTACACAAACAAGCCCTTTTATCCTAGTGGTTAGTGGCTGGGATTCTGACATGGTATCAGAGCGAAGGTCTCGGGTTCGAATCCCGGTGTGTGCACCTCGGGCATCCCAGTGCGGGGGGGTGTCAGAGGTCCACTGGTGATCCCTGATTGATCCTAGGGAAGGGTTACAGGCACATTGGCCTGGGGGGTTATGGGCGCACTCACCCGTTACACAAACAAGCCCTTTTATCCCAGTGGTTAGTGACTGGGATTCTGATATGCTGACCCGTCGCTGTTTCTACGCACCGACACTTGGGCACCTCGGGCATCCCAGTGCGGGGGGGTGTCAAAGGTCCACTGGAGATCCCCGATTGATCCTAGGGTTACATGCACGTTGGCTTGGGGGTGCACTCACCTGCTACACAAACAAGTCATTTTATTCCAGTGGTTAGTGGCTGGGATTCTGACACCCTACTGCCCTACCATCGCGCTACTGCCACTGCTGTACTGCTACTGCCGCGCTGCCCCTTCCTGCACGCTATTGCCATTGGTGAACGCATTGCCTCGCACGCGCTGCCCCGCGCTGCCGCACTGCCCCACGCTGCCCCGCACGCACTGCCCTACGCTGCTGCGCTGCCCTGCTATGCCCCAGGAGTGCAGCCGCTCACTGTCCCGCGCTGTCACGCTGCCCCGCGCATGCTGCCTTGCGCTGGCCCCCCGCGCTGTCGTGTTGCCGCCCCACTGCTCGGCTGGGCTGCCCCACTGCGCTGCCGCCTGCGCTGTTGCGATGGCACCCGCTCTGCAGCCTGCATTGGCGCGCTGCTACTCACGCTGCAAGTGCTGCCCTGTGCTGCCCGCGCTGACGCACCGCTGCCCACTGCTGCCTGCGCTACAGCGTTACCACGCTATAGCTCGCCGTTGCACGCCGCCCGCACCGCCTGCTACCAAGCCACGCCGCCACACCGCCCAGCCCATTAGTGCACTGCGCCGCGATCTTGCACTGCGTACTTCAGCACCACCCGTTACTGCCGTGCACCCACCCCGGCCCTGCCGCCCATTCTGTCACGTCACCCCGACACGCCGCCCTCGCCTAAATCTGCTGCTAGTTTTTAGTGTTGCTGCCTGACCTAGTTTTTGCCTTGCTGACCATGATTGCCCTAACGTTTGACGCAGAGGGGCGCCATATCAAGTTCATGTCTTGGCCAGAGGACCTGCACCTTTACCTCCAAATTGTCACTAGGGATGGCGTCTCCCCTGTTCGAGCATACGTCGAGGTCCCTTAAGGACCCCAAGACTCCAGTCGAGCTTGCTGCTGACGCTAGGGAGGTGCAGCGGAAGTACTGGGCTGGCCGCATTGCCTGCACGACGTGGGCTGCACGTGACGCCACTGCGCAGCTTGCAGTCCGTGCTCACCCCTCGCTCAAAAAGAGGGCCCACTTTCGCCAGGTGACGTCGGCCTATGACTTCTACGACATTGTGGCTAGGCACTGCTCCTCCACCTCTTCTGCCACTCTAAGTCGTCTTGCGCTGCTGCCTCTTCACTGTTGTTGACCTCATGACCCATCTGCGCTTACTTGACTCTCGCTATTGTACCGCCCTAACGCCAGAGTTTCCGGTTGAGAACTACCCCCCCATTTACCTCACTCGGTACTTCCTCACGACTCACATCCCTGACACCCTGCTTGTTGTTTGCGACTACTTCCTCTCCTTAGACCCCGCCAGTCTCGACCTTGCCTTGTTTGAGACCCTTCCCTTCGAGGCCGAGACCAGTACTCACTATGTTGCTACCTCCCGTGGCACCTCCAGCACCTTCATTTTTTAGGGGTGAGCTCCCTCCCTTCTTGCGTCCCTCTGGTACTGTTGTTGACCTCCTTGGTGCTAAGGAGGTCGGTGATGTGTCCGCTGTGTTTATGCAGCGGCAGTGGTGGACGTAGGACGAGTGTCAGTGGCAGAGGTAACGGTGGCGGTGGGGGGGGCAAGGGTGTTGGTGGTCGCGGGGGTGCCAGAGGGGGTTGGAGTGGAAGTCGTGGTGGAGCTAGCGGGCGTGGCGGGGGTGGAGCAGCTGGTGGAGGAGGAAGCTCTAGGGGTGGGCATTAGCAGGTAGTGGCTGCGAGTGGGTGCTTGTGACACTGCTAGCACAGGTGTAGTTCCTATGGAGGCGTTGCTCTCATTCACACTGGACTCTGGCATAAATCGGTGCTTCTTCCGCGACTGCACCACAGTCAAACCACTTCCGACACATGTCCCTATCACTCTGGCAGACCCCTCATCTGGACAAGTCGTTGCTTATGGCTCCACTATTCTCCCGTGTCCAGCAGTCCCCTCTAGCTCCCTTACAGGTCTCCACCTCCCCTCGTTCGCTACGAACTTGGTGAGTACCGGTCACATCTAGGATTTGTTGGTCACCACCACGAATCTTGGAGGCGAGCACATGGCGATCTGTATGGACATAGAGACTGGCTACCACCTTGCCACATTCACGCGGAGGCCTGGGACTGGATTGTATATGCTGCACACCGAGTCTGCTCAAGTGGTTGCGTCAGGTCTGGTAGCAGCGTCTTGCTTGTGTCGGTTACTCACACACACGTCTCTCCTCTGGCACCACCATCTTGGTCACCCCACCCTTCCGCACCTCCGCAACATGCACTCGCGCCGCCTTTTTTATGGCCTCCCGCAGACAGTGCCCCCGCTCCCACCATCACTTGCGTCGCCGTGAACTCAGTACCTGTGTCGAGGGGCGGCAGCGCGCTGCTCCTCACTCCTCCTCGTTTCCTCCGACCACTGCTCCTCTGCATTTTTACCACCCAGCCACTCAGCGCGACCTTTCCTCCCGTGATGTCACCTTTGACGAGTCGATCTACTACTACCGTCCCCCCCCCCCCCCCCCCCCCCTCCTCCTCTCGCCTCCTCCTGCTCCCTCAGATGTGTTGCAAGTCACCCCACTTCCCTCAGTTGTCCCTTTGGAGCTCTCCTCTGACTCCTCTAACCCAACTAATGTTGGTGCAACCCTACGGTTTGCACTCGGCTTGATGTCCGTGTGCGTGCATGTGTGTGTGCATGAAATGGAATGAGGCATGAAGTAATATATATTTCTTGCTTATAATAGTGTGTATATGATGGGTCATGATGTCAAGTTTGAGTGTCGAGTCAATAGCGAGTTATCGCTAGTTGCGTGTTACGCGGTCGTTTGTGTCCCGTGCGCAATTTCTGTTTTGTCGTGCGCGGTTTCTATTTTGTTTTGTGTCGAACGTTCGGCGTGTCGCAGGTGTTTGCAGCAGACCCATCAAGAACTCAAGGATGAGTTCTGTCATGAAGAACCAGAACCTTGGTTCAAGCTTCAAGTGAATCGAAGCTCACCAAAAGGGTACACCTCAAGATTGTGAAGATAGTTACATTACTTTGTGTAGTGTAACATTCCCTTTGGTGTAGGCCCTTGTGAAGGGTAGTTTCGAGACCCTTCTTGGTTGGGGACAGTGTGGCGCTGTTCCCCATCACTGTACCTCGACTATTGGGTTTTGTAGGAGCTGGGAGTCATTTCCAACTCGTAACCCTTCGTAACCCTTCCTAGCTGTTCGTAATTTGTGTCTTCTAAGACCATGTTGCTGCCATAGTGTTGTTCGTTCAAACCGGCGCTGTGTCGTCAATTCTTAATAAAATCGTGGGATCTAAATTTCCTCTTATAGGGCACGTTAAGACGCTCCAGATCCAAGTTGAATGAGGTCGTTTGGAGCTGTGACCA